GGGGAGGGTGGGGCGGGTGGGTGGGGGGTGGGGGGGGGTGTTGGGTGCCCAGGGTCTGTGGCAGTGGTGCATGATGGTGGCTGTGGGGTGCTGTGCAGGGCTGGCAAGGCCCAGGAGGCACTGAGCTCCCTGCTATGCTGGATGGAGCTGTGATCATTGCTATCATGAAGATAAACTGGCCATTGTTGCCAAAAATAAATGTTAGTGTTCCAAATCCACACTTCAATAGCACCAACTCATTAGAGATGCATATCGTTTGGCTCCAGTCCCACACCTTCCAGCTTGTTATAAATATGCAGTTGCTGCTGGCTCTACCCCAATCATCTCTGCAATCAGAGCTTTTAATTAGGTTAATTAAATTGTATCAAACCTCACAGGGATGCAGTTCACTGATGCTGATGAGGCAGCCAAAACAGACCTTAACTCTGGCTCTAATGAAGGCCCTGCTGCAGCTAATGACAATGCATAATAAATTAGAGCTTCCCTAGAAAGGTGCATCATGGCTTGTGCTTCAGTAAATGATGATCTATATGCACTAGCTTGGTACTTTGGGCTTCAGGTCTGCAAAGCCAGGGATGTCCTGGGAATATGTGCCCAACAAATGACAGGCTCCTGCCTGCTCTGAGAGATGCTCTTCACCTCAGTTCTCAAGGCACTAAAGCTGTGAGGCACTCTGTGAGGATGCCTGGCTTTTCCCAGCAGCTCTGGGTAGGGGTGTGTTTAAACCCCCCGGGATGGAGCAAGGCAGGAGCAGCCTCTTGGGAGGGGACAGCAGGGACCAGGGTGATGCCCAGCCTGGAGGGGGCTGAAGGGATCAAGAAGCCTGGGGGTGCCCAGGTTCAGGCTAGATATATTGAATAGCAATTGGTGGCTCCTGATTGTTATTGCTGACCCTTCTTGTCACATACTAAAGAAAACAGTGTGGGAGGGCTGTGTCCTGCCTTGCGTTGCTTGCTGCTGTGGGGTGGGTGGGAGATCCTGCTGTCCCAATCTCTGATCTGGTCCCAGCTCAGAAAACAAGGCCTGCAGCAAAGCTGTCCTGAAGTCTCAGACCTGCGATACTTCTGCTAGTAATACACTCTTGCAGTTGCCTAGAGATAATCCTGCAAGAATTTTAACGTAGCCTGCTATTAACTTTTATAGGCAGTCATTATCAATTGAGTTCTTCAGATTGAACAAGGAATTACGTGAAACTATTATATGGCACAATATTATTCTGAGTCACCTGAAACCTGAGTGGTGAATCCGTGGGGTATTTTGATATCTGTCTTCCAAGCTGCAGGGGATCTCCTCGCCAGAGAACCTGTTGGTTCAGCCTCTGATACTATAATTATCACAAGCAGAAAATAGCTGTGAGCTGTCTTGCTCTGTCCTTGCCCACAAAGGCCCAGTGAGGCTGGCAGATCCCACCAGCATCTCCTCAAGCCCTGCGCGGTGGCTGAGTTGCAGGGTGTTTTGTTTGGTTATAAGGCATTGACTCCTCCTGGACTCTTGCAGAAGCATTTCAGTGCTTTAAGATGAGGAAACTACGCTAAGGGGGTCAAAAGGAGAGCAAAGGTTTGGCTCTTGGAGGGAAGGGTTTGGCTTTTAGCCATGTGCCCAGGAACTGACCCATGAGGATGTTGGCCTGGTTAAGAGCTGTCCCCTGCTGTCATTGCCTTGCTGTACGCTTCCTTAACCCTGCCAAGAGGCTGTTCCAGACCACCTGGGAAATGCAATTTCCAGCTCAGAGATGCTCCTGGGCAGTTTGCTCTCAGCTGTGTCTGCCAGCGCTGGTTGCTCTATAAGCATCCTCTATGCTGTTTGCCCGCTATCATCTTTTTAGGGCAGTCTTGTATAGCCCTTGTCTTGCTGGGCTGGAAGAGCCAAGACCTGGTTCCTCCCATTGGATGCACCCTCCTTTTCCTTGCAGGCATTAGTGGCCCTTCTCTTCGTTCCTTCTGGTGTGGATTAGTCTTTCCTGAATCTGGATGTTCCTGACCAAGTCTCATGGCAGTGTTGGGAGATGTCTGCAGGACTCTGCCTGGTGCTCTGGGTTTCTCCTCTGCAGCTGGTAGTCGTTCTCTGATTGCACTCACAAATTTTGCTTCTCTTCTAGTATGGAACTAGCATTACTGAGGATTTGTGCCAGTGCATGCAGAGCATAGCTGCAGTGTGTGTCAGCCCCCACTTGTTGCAGGTTACTTGTGAAGCTGGGGGAGTGCCCCGTGCTTTCGTGAGCCCCTCCTGGGCCTTGCACATGGCCTCCGATCTGTTGAACTGTGTCAGCGCGCAGGAGCTGGGGGTGGGAAGTGGATTTTGAGCAGTGGGAGACTTATTCGAATCATGAGATAGGTTGGGGGATCTAACAGAAATGGCCAGACAGCACCTGGACACAGTTTTTGCTTCCCACACTTTCAAAACTGTGCTGGTTTTACTGTCGAGGAAAATCAGACTAGCTTCTCTGTCCCAGCGGGAGCCTGTTTCCCATTTGTCCGCTCCACAGGGAGCGGGGTCTTGGCATGAGAAGACAGCGTTTAACTTGTGATGGCATTTTCCACATAAATCACCTGAATGTTTCTCTAGTTGCTGAGCCAGGCAGTGCTGTGAAATGTACAGGGAGATGGGTGGTGGCCAGATATGGGAACCTCATTGGTTTTGCTCTTTGAAATAGGGTAATTTTTTTGCTGGGAAAAATGCTGCCCTGGCTGCCCATGGGAATCTGCGCCCAGCTGACCCTGAGCATCGCAGGTAGCAGGGGCAAACAGTGTCTGCACACGCAAGCTGAGGGGCTCTGCAGCTGCTTGTCTGCTTCAGCCTTTTCAGCATCTCCTGCAATGTAGGTGGAGTTACTCCGGGATACAGATTAAATATTAATTGAAATCGCAATCCAAAAGAAATTCTACTTCAATGATCACCCACCTAGTGTATTGGGAACCTCGATGTGCATTTAGAAAAACAATTAAAAGGTCTCAAATATATATATGTGAACTTAACAGACTATTTTGAATCCAGTTCTTCGTTCTGCTTGCTGCTTGTATTTCTCTGAATATTGCCAACCTGAAGTGTGCAAAACTAATGACAATGCTTGTTTAAAATCTTCGGGCATCGCGGTGTCCCGGGACCCCGGCAGTGCTGGAGCCGCGGCCGCGCTGCGCCCCTGCCCCCTGCCGGCCGCTGCCGTGGGAACCCCGCGGTACCCCGTTTCTCTCCTTTCTCTGCCAGAGCGGGGCGGGGGGAACCTTCACAGCAAACAACTGTGGTTTTCGGTTGTACCTCTATGCTGTTTCTAAGAGGAAGGAAAAGGAGTGGTTTTTGCCACATAGTGCATTAATTTTTCCTGTGAGTTAGTCTGATGCTGGATTGTTTCTATTGGGCTCTTCCCAGTGGAATGGGGAGACTTCTTGCTCCATATTGCAGAAGTCCCAACTGCTTTTAAAAGAGAAGTACAGTCCTTCCCATAAAGAAAAATAAGATAACCCCACGATTGTTACTATCTTAAGAATCTTTGTAGTGGTGGGAATTACATCCACTGCTACACTGAAGCTATACTTCAGCACCTGAAAAATTGTCATGTTTCCTCTAAGATAAGCTAGAAAAACTCCCAAAGCAGGAAGGATTCACAAAAGAGCATCTCTTTTTTTGACCATCTTGCATGGGCATGTGCTTGCTATTGGCAGACATACTAGAAGTGAGAGAGATAAGGGAAGGAATGTTTACGCCCAGGTTCTCTTGACTTGCCTGAACTACTCCAGGATACTCAAAGATGTCTTCATTATTCTCATTTCAAACTGTCCTCTGACTACCAAAACAGCAACAAGCATAATAAACAGAACAGGACAAACTTCAGTCCCACACCTGCCCTTTGACTTGTTTTTCCCCATGTATCAATCTCAGTACTGCCTCGGTTCAGACTTAGTAATACTGTTACACTGGAAATTGCTCATCCTAGGAGCAGTACCCCTTTCTAAGGCATGGGATAAAATACATACAAATAGCTATGTGCATACGTGTACTCGGGTACCAAAGTTATTCACAAAGGATGAGACCTCTTTCCTTCCTGCAGAGCAGAACCACCAACTCCTCAATTCAGCACCATTCCTGAATAGCCTTTGGCTAAGATGGCGCCTGAATTTAGCAATGTGCCCTTAGCAGTGCCTTTCATCTCTCACGTTTCAAAGCAAAATACTTTGTGCAGATAAAACAGAAAAATCAAAGATGGATGTGGGGAAAAAAGGAAAAAAGTGATTAGAAAGATAACATTCAACTGTAGCCTGTTAGAAAAGCTAGCTAAAAAAGCTGACCTAGAATCTTGTGTTTGGCCGTGTCATGGACTGCCGGCCACACAACTGAAAGTAACAAAAAGCCCAGAAGACCTTGTTTGTGTGCTGCTTGCACCCTGTCTTCTAGTCTCATAGCTTTGACCTTGACTTTTAAAGGATTGCTTACAGCGCACATCACTAGGACATCCAGGCACTTCTTGTAAGTTTACAATGTAAATAGCATGAGGACAAACTCTTTATTAATCCATTAATTAGATAAAATGTGTTTATGGATAATAGAAGGCCCACAGTAATTTGTTTTGACAAAGTGTTAGGCTGCAGCAGAAGTCAGACTGATATTGACAGCATATCAGTACTTCATAAGGAGAATCCTCCTTCTTCTAAGCAAAGACGGCAGCATTAGTTATTTCACGGAACAGTTAACGTTTCCGCTGAAGTTTGAACTTGTAAATAGCTGGACCATTTGTTGTCTCTTTCTTCACCTTCACTTTCTGAGTTTTGTCCTGAAAAAAGAACAAGAAAACTACTTTATTTGCTAGCATATAACAAGAAACCTCCTTACACAAGCCCTGCCTGGGACTGAAAAGTGAATACTTTCCACTGTTTAGATGGGGATTTTATTTCCCTTTGTTTTTCTGCTTTTAGCTTGTCAGACACAATCTGTTTTGCTTATAGGCACCAGTGGGTGACAAGCCCCACCAAAACAAGTAATATTTTGGTCATTAGGATTTTTAATATTTTCTTGTAACCTACAGAACTGCTTCCTTCCCTCTGCTACCTGAAAGCATTACTTTGGTACTTGAGAGGTGAGAGCAATAGTATTTTAGAAAAGACTGTACACCATTTAAAGAATTAAATCTTTGTCCTTGCTAATATGGTAGAGTTGTAACATGACTAGTAACTTAAATTTTATCTGCTATTCCAATTGTAATGCTTTGTGAAACCCTCTCCTTGCCTTCTCCATACCAAAGAGGGAGTTACTGTGAGGAGTTACCTGGAAATGTCAGTATAAAACTGGAACAAAGATGTACCTATGTACAAAACCAGACCCAAAGACATTAACAAAACAGATCAAAAAAAACCTAAATCCTTCACCAAAAGATCTTTGCGTGTCTGGATTTTCTGTGCAATAACAAACATCGTCTTTTCTCGCTCAATACGCTGCTTCAGGAGGTCATACTGATTCTTCCTTTGTTGGGCTAATTTCTGGAGAAGAAAAAAGCATTTTTAAGAAATAAAGAAACAAGACAGTAGCCTGGAACTGAGCCCTTCTGAGAACTTGGACCTCATACACTTTTTTGCTTTTTAAATCTTAATAGAGTTCTATTAAAGAATCCTGCTTCTATTATGTGGTTGGATTCCAGAAAACCGTGTAACATCTTGATTATCAGACTAGAGGTTTTCTAATTAGGGCTTGATTCTTCTTGCTTGTTAATCTCTTAAATCTAAACTAAAAAATACTCTTCTAACCTGGCTTGGATACTGTAGAGCCCTGTTGGGTAGGTGGTCTCCGGAAACCTCAATTTTCATCTGAACTTGAATGCTGACTGTAAGAGAATATTTAACTCTGAAAGGAAAACCCACAACTCTATTCAGAGAGGAAAAAAGGCCTGTGACCAATTTGTGAAGTGCCTAGAAATTGCACAGAGGGCTCCCGAAATGCAACTTGTTTGGTCATGTTTATCTACTAAGAGCTGATGGTTTTCCCAGCACAAAATGGTATTACTGAAGGTGTGATTTAAGTAATTAATCTAAAGAGAACAGATCCCAACATGCTTACAATGTGACTCAGATAGTCAGAGAAGACTCATCAGTCTAAAACTTGTCCAACCGCTTTACTGAGAAGCCAAACTGAAAGTTGGCAAGATGGAAGGGACCACAGGACATTATCTGACATCTGAATTGGAAGACAACAGACTACAGATTTTACCAATCAGCGATTTCATTTCAAATTTTATTTTTACCTTATATATACGGACTCAAGCTTATAAGACTATCCACTCTATCAAAACTAATTAGGAAGTATTTATAGTGCTAAAGTGAACTTTAGCTACTTCCAGGACTGAACTGCTGTGATATGAAAAAGTTGATGCTGTGTAAGCAATTCATGCTGAAGAATCATGAAACAATTTAAATTAGGAAAGCTAGGAAATGAGACCACAGCTTAAATCTCTTTAAGAGGAGGAGGAAGGGGGAAGCAGGGACAATCTGCAAGAGAAAGATTACTATGATTGTTGGCATTACAGAAAAGAGGAATAAATTGTGTAACTGAAATTTCATAGATATATCTATGTTGGAAGAAGCTCCTTCACATCTCTAATCAGGGGTATGAGAGTCTTTTTGAGTTTTGGAGAAGACTTAACAGTGAGATGTTGTAAAATCACACTTAAAACTATAGCAATCTAATGAAAAGATAATCCTATAGATATATGTTGTGTAACAGGAGAAATGGATCAAGTTTGTCAAGGAACACCTCTAATCAGATCTATACCACCCCACTGTGGCCCATATCGCTGCAAAGAATACAAGTCACAGCTCTATAGTACAGTGGTCTGGGATATGACTGAACAAATTCTGTGTTGGTCCAGGATTTGACTGTAGGTCTACAGATACTTTGTGATTGTGACATACAGTATACAGCATACAGTGTGTCACCAATAAATTCTAGCATAACAGAACAACTTTGTCCTCCTCCACAATGTTCCAGTGAACTCTTTTTGAGGACTTATTACAGAAAAGATGTAAGGTGTAAGTTAAGAGCACTATAATACAGATACTGGTAGCACAAACTACCTTTAAGCGAGCAGGATCAGTAGCTCCTTTCAGTGTCTCTTTCTGTAATGTTGCAATGGTTGGTCGGTTGTACACTCTATCTACTAGCTCTGGAACGGTATCCAGATGAGTTGAAATGTCAAATTCTTGAACTAAAAATAAAAAAGAATACTAGGAATAAACTCTCACACTTCTTGGACTAATGCTCAGCAAACCTTCCAAATGTAGCTTATGTACAGTCAGCAATGGAGAGAGCCCTAGCAAGATAGCTCCTGCACAACTAAGGCCTTCTCTAATAATCAAAAGGGATTTTCAGAACACTTGAACTACTTTTCCTGAAATAGAATCTTCTTTTACAACAACAGCTTAAAGCACCTTGGTACTTTGATGTTTTACTTCAGGCTGTGTAAAATCTATAAAACAAACAAAAATTCTGACAAAGCCTTTAAGTATCTTACCTTCTTTTTTGGTATCAAAGAAGAACACATGCTTGTTGGGCTGCTTCCCCTCAGCATCCAGGAGATGGAGCTCTGACTTCAGCCTTTCGATTTTCTGCACAAAGGAAGAGTTAATCTCAGTTTTGCTAAATATCTGTAACAAGGTGAATCATCTTCTTGAAGGAAATTCCTGTTTGTTTCTCAAAAGTACCCGCATCCAAACTTTTTCTTTTTCTGTCTTTTTTAAGTATAGGTAGTCTATATTTAATGTTTTTTCCTCCAAACCTTCTCAGATAGAAGTTAATTTCCGGTATTACCAAGCCAAATATGTATAAATCATCTTTCAAACATGAGTAACTTATTTTGAGGGCAGACAAAATAGAAAGGATTACCTTGGAAGCACTAGCAAAGATCTGAAGGAAAATCCAAAGCTGACTAACTTTTACTTAGTGTGGACCACACTGTTTAATGTAGTTGCATTAATGGTAATGTGTGGACCAATAGCTGGGAATAAATCATTTTCAGAAGGAGTCAAATGTATGCTGCCTGCCTAGAATATTTAACCTATTTCAGTAACATACTCTGTTCCTGATAAATGAGAAACAAGAATGTTTAATGTTTGAAATTCACAAGTTTGCCATGTTTTATTACATTCAATATACAGTAGAGTTCTTGGTACAGCTTACACCCTGAGGTTCCATATAGAGCTTCACTGATGTTTCTACCTGTCATTTTTGGTATTACACAAACCCAATTTCACCAACCATGATTTTTGCTTTAAATTTTCTTGTTGCTGTTTGTTTCTCAGCCAACTGAAAAAGCAAAGTATTTATTACCTTGGCTTCTGCCACTCTTTTCATTTCCACGTACTTGAGATCCTGTGTCCTCATCACTTTCACCTGTTCAGGGGTCACTTCATCCTTTGGCTGCTTAATTACATGAACGCCATCCTAAAACCAGACGGAAGACAGTACTAGACACTGATATCACTCTAGCTGTAGCATACCATCAACCCCAACAAAAAGCAGAAGCTCCTGTCTGTCCTTTGCCCGCAGATGCGCCTTCTTTTCTTCAAAGGCGAGCCTTCCTCCATTTACTAATTCATAAATGAAAACGAGGCAGAAGGAAAACCAGTGATGTCACTCAGAGCAACAGAGCGTAGCCCTGCCTGCGGGCAACCTGGTTTCTCACCTGCAGCCTCGCACGGGTCATCTTGAAGTAGAACTCATCGGGGTTCTTGTCCAGCGCTTTCTTCTGCAGCGCCCGCAGGACATTCTGCTTCTTGCGGTAGTCGCTAGGGGGAAGCGAGGCGGTCAGCGGCCCCTCC